CTGCCATCATAACATCAATCAGTGTATATCATTCCAGTATTTAATTCAATAATTCCATGTTTCGCTTAGACAAAAATAGGAATAAATTTAATTTGTTAATATTTCAATGCTGGGTGACTTTTTAGTACTTAGTAAAACCTCTAACATTAGCACTACTGTGGACACTCACAGTGATCTGTAATTTTATAAGATGAACCTATGCAGTATTGATTCTTAATAAGGTAATAAATGAAGAGAAACAAATTCTGTCAAGGTTCTTTTTAAGATTCAGATTCTCTCTCTCTCTCTCTATATATATATATTTCTTATGTTTGCATGCACTGGCAGATCCAGGAAGTCAATCGGAATAAATTTAGTAAGGTAACACAGTAGTTAGCCCTCCAACAATGGTATGAATCCTGGTGTTTATAACTGAAAGAGGCTCTGCCTCTGGGTGGAGTGCGTGTTCCTCTATGGCTTTAAGGCACGTCCAGAAGAAATGCTTTAGGTTCAATGTGGTGAGCTGGGCAAGGTGTTGGGCTCTGCTTGCGTACAGCCACCTGCCTCCATGTTTCTTGTAGCATAGGGTCCAGTTCTGGGGATTAGCAACATTTCCCTGACCCGATTAACTCTTGTTTGCATTCTGGTTGGAGCTGCAGTTGGGTTTTACTTTGGCATGGCTTTGCTGTTCTGTGTATTCTGTGCTAAAATGCTGTGTTCCAGGTCAGGTTGACAACTGTGCCCACTAAGTCTGCTGTGTACAGAATGATGATTGTATATGTTATAAAGCTTGTAAAGGTTACTGGGGACCTGGTTTGTACGCATCAAACATATCTGAGTCTTGACAACAAGAAATTCTGCAAAAATGTCAGGTTCTTGAAGCACCAGCAGAGGCAGTGTTGTGAAAGTACAGACAGATTATAAATTGCAATAGGAGGAAGAAGGTCTACTTGCCAGAGCTTGTGAGAGGAAATAAATCCAAGCCCATGGTTTCTTTTTCTCCTCTCACCAGAAAGAAAAATGTCTAATGAATGTCTCATGTCTGAAACACTGGGCTGGATTCATCAAAGGGAGTTAGTAATTACCAAATTGAGAGAATCATGAAGCGCTTTTCTAAATTTGAAAGACTCATCAAGAATAGATCAGGAGCAGGCAAAATTAATAGTTATGAACTCATTTCCATAGAAATGGACTTATTAGCAAGGATGCCAGCTGCCTAAAATTATACGGTCTTTTCATTGTGCTTGCAGGAAATAATCTTTTTTTATAAAAGGAATTTTGACTTTTTATTTTTTATTGCTCCTCTAAACTCTAGCTGGGGCTTGGCAAAATCCTTCTAAACTGGGCAAAAACTCCACTGGACAATAGAAATATTTAACTAAAAAGAGAAGAAAGATGTGAAAAGGAGAAGTGATTTATAGTCCTTAGATTCCATCAGGCTCTTCCCAATAGTGCAAACTTATTTCAGAGAAAAATGGAGTAAGTCTCAAGAAAAAGCTGAAAAATCTTTATAGGATAAAGTTTGGTTTAGTGGGATTTAATGGCTGATTACAGCATGAGTTACAGTCATCATCTTCTCAGCGAGTAGATTTTCCCACTTGTAGCATTTTGTCTTCAGCTGGTGGTTACAGATGACAGTGACCACAAAGCCCAACATTGGTCAGAAGCTACAGATCAGAGCGAGGAAAAGCTGAAGATTTGCCATGGCAGGGTGGAGTAACTCCTTTTAAAAAGGTCTGTAGTGCAACGCTGCATATCAAGGAGAGGAATTTAGATACAGGTATTGTGATGTGGAGTTATCAGCTAATGGAGCTCACAGCAGTAAATGCTAACCCGTAAGGTCTTCATTATGATTTAATTCATCTGTTTTTACTTTGGCAACTTCCATCAATTTCAGTGGAAAAGGCAGTGGTGTCTCACAAGATATTACAGAGAATGGTTAATAAATTGCAAGAATTACAAATCTGATACCAATCTGCCTGATAGGAAAGAAACCTCTGCAGGAGATGCACTACCCGGTTGAAAGGCTCTAGTCTGAGCCAGAAAGACACTCATTTTTCATGTTTCGTCATGGGGCCATTATAGCTGTATTCAGTGAAGAGACTCTGAGCAAAGAGGGTGGATTATTCCATGGGGTTCTCTGTGACCCAGATACTGTAACATTTAGCATTGCTTGAAAGCCCAAGCTTTGTCCTGAAGAGGAAAAAAGGGAGACTATAGTTTTGAGAAAATCCATTGACCTGCTGTTCTGAAGGTAACTGGAAACCTGCTGGTGAATAAAGGAGTCCAGAAAGTCGAGTACTTGTTTGCTAAAAACTGTTCACTCAGTGGAGAAACTCTGTAAGCGAATGCTACTTAGATACAGTAAATGCTGTGCTTTCAGCACAACTCCATATGAAAGGTGGATCCTTATTTAATATTTGTTAGTATCACATGCTACGTGGTTTGCTTCTGAGACAAAGCAGAAAGCATTTGGCAAGCCCTGTTGTTCTTCCAGAGATGAGAATTCTTGGAACTGGGAGCACCACCTGCTCCAGGAGGTCACCTTTGCTTTCGTTTGTATGTTACCATTAGTTAGATCTCAGGAAGGTTTCTGTATCTGAGTTGCTGCTCTTTTCTAGATGCTTAGTGGCTCACTTCCAGTCCAGGAGTGCATAAGCACGTCTGTCTTTAAATGAAACTTTTCTCTTGTATAGCAATACATTGAAGGTTCCTTGCTGTGCTAAGGATGCAATGAAGGTCTTTGCATGTTTGTAGGCACAAGAGTCATGCTTCTCCCAAGCAATTACTTCTGTTTGCTTATATAGGCAAGACACACGCTTTTCTTAGGGAGATCTGAGTCCTGGACTTTCTTAAAAGTATAAAACTACTATTACTGTTACTTTTGAGATGTATAAAAGGAAAAACAGTAAAGGCATATTTGAAACACGATGGACTGAGCTGAAAGAAGAGCCAGTCACTGAGACGTACAGAATTAATTTATCAGTGCAGACTTATCTGACACACTGTTTAAGTGATGAATCCAAAGCAAAACCCTCCATCAATGGTTTTGTTCAGAATTTGAAACTACTCGTGCATGTTTGTGAGTGGCAACTATTGGATTGAACAGATTGAACCTAAACTGCAGATCCAAACATACCTTGACAGGCCTAATATCCACATCCATAGTTAGCATAAAGCTCATCTCAAAATATCATTTCTGCATTGTGAGCAAATTCATTTTATGTAATTTAGATAAAACAAACTGCCAGAAGTGATGTGGAAGACTTGTGAAGTTGAGTGCTCAATTGTGATGCCCACAGTGGTTACGCTTTTTAACAGAAAAAGCTTAATTACATCCCTAGTACTCTGTAGTGATATTCCTCTTAAAGGGCTTTTGCTGTTTGTCTGGTTGGCCATCCAAAAGATGCCTTTACAGCTTCTGTTTTTGCCTGGAGGTGGGTATTATCTTCTGTTAGCATGGAAAATATTTATCCTCCAGGCATTGAAGCATATGTTTGTGTTGTTTGTTGTCAGAAAGAAAACATGAAAATCAATAATTCCTGTTTAGATTTTTTTTCTTTTACAATGTGCCTTCAAAAACATATGGCAAAAATAGTTTCTGCCTCTGTGCAATTGGGAAGAGGAAAAGAGTGTTTAAGTGTCTGTTCTTTGTAGCAGCAGACTAAAACTTTCTTTGAGCACAACTCTTAGTGTCTTTGAGGGCATGTGAATAAATGTCCCATGGAAGAGGACCAAGGGTGAAAGTACAGAGAGTGGGTGGTGCTCAGTGCCTGCAGGCACAGGACACATCCCTCGGCTCTCGTTCCTCGTAAGAGCACATTCAAGATATTAGAGTGGCTAGCATGCTGCAAGTTCAAATTTTATCCTATTTTATGAGCTTGGACTCTGAAACTTCAGAAATACTGATCAAATCAGTTGTTTTTTCGATGTAATATGATTGGGTAATATGTAATTCGATGTAATATGGTTGGGTCAGCAGTCAGGTTAGCTGCCTTTCCAGTCTGCCTCTGTGCTTTGCAAGCTGCATCAGATCTCTGCAGTGCAGGTCTCTGGCTGTGGGATCGGGGCAGGAATTTGTATGTTGCTTTGTAAAATACCTTAATTTTTGTGGAAGTAAAGCACTGGATGAACGGATGTCTATTTTATAAATAGCTCCCTGCTGTTGATTGCTGATGGTTAAGCCTTGGTGTCTGTTTTCTTACCTGTAACTCGAAGATAAAAATATCTGTCTTTCTAACCTGAGGATTAATTATTAATATTTACATATTGTTGGACCAGAGGAGAGAGCTAAGTGTTGTTGTTAACAAAAGGAGAATTGATTTTTAAATAGAGCTTTGAATGCTATGCATTTACATCAATTTCTTTACCTTTAAGCTTCTATTCCCAAATGAGAAATATGTAATGATCACCATACAATTACAAGTCTGCATCACTGATGCAAAGAATACTTTCATGAATCGAAAATAAGGAAATTCTACCCCACATTCATCATCATGTATAATTTCCGCAAATCCATTTTTTCACTGAGATAAAAACAAGTTTGCATTTGAAAGACTTGTTTTTCCCCAGAAAAGCTCATTTCTGATACTGCATGAGGAATGGTCAAGTATTCTGTTGTTTTGGAGCATCAGTATTTGCAGCAACAACATTATAATAATGTTATATTGAATAATTTAGCAAAATCTGTACAATGCAGTTCCCAGGGTTTGGGTTTTATTCTGTAGGTTCATCATGATTACAGAGAATGAACGCTTGAGTTTAATGAGTGAGATGAATCCATGTCAGCAAACTTAAGGATGTACAAGATGTACTGTCACCTTATCTTTTAAGTATATTGCCCAGTGTGTAGTTTGATTTAGGTTTCTGTCAGTGTCTTGGAGTCTGCATGTTGAATTCAATGATAAACCTTCTGTTGAATAGGAAAGAGAAGTCAAAATATATTTTGTTATTAACATCCTACTGATGTTTCTTTTATGGGCATTCTTTTTTTTTTTTTTTTTTTTTTTTTTTTATTCCAGAGCAAACATCTCCTCCTATGAGATCCTGCAGATGGACTTTGAGATTGACAATGCTAGCAGCCTGGCAGGAGCCCAGCAAATTACCTGGCAGGTGGAGTACCCTCGAGATGACTCCCTGAGTGAACTGGTGGTCTCTGAGATCTTTGTCAGCCGAACAATGTTTGCTGGAATTGTTCCCCTTGCGATGGTAGGAACCTGCTGCTGCTTCTTCTTGCTAAATGTTTCTGTTGATTCTCAGTAGTATTCAAGGGAATGTGAACCATTTCATTGTGTGCTACTTCCTATGCACCTGCCGCAAATGATTGAAATGCAAAAAATACATTTCAATAATATTTTATTTACCTGATATGCCATAATGACTCCTAGGAAACCATTTGAGTCTTTTGTGTAAATCCTTTACCGTTTGTGGATTATTGGCCTGGTACACGGTAATAGCTCCTTTGGCACTATTGTCTTCTGGTGTATAAATGTGACTGCCATGCATGTGCTCTAAGGGTAAATGGTGCAATTAGCTGGGACATTTTCAATGAAATAAATTGTCATGCCTGTGTGGGGAAACTTCATTGCTAAACCAAACAACTAGACTGTTTTCTGCTTTGCTGTTCCCCACAGAGCCACACAAACCAGTGAGCTGCAAACTGTCAATTTAATAAAAGGTCCACTCAGAGACATAGAGAAATGACAAAATATTTTCTGAAGACTTAGGTGCTTGACTTATTTTCCAGGCAGGGTTTCAGGTGAACAAATGCAGAAGAATCACAGCTGATGGCTTATTTAAAAAAAAAAAAAAAAAAGGCAAGTATCTACTTCTAATCTCAAATGCAGCAATGCAGCTTTTCTTGGCCTATACACATTTGGGCCTGATGGACCTTTTGGTAAGTACTGGAACTTTGAGCTGACACAATTCCAGTGATTTCAGTGGGAATATTCTGGTGTAAAAGAGTAATAGTGATATTTATGTAAAATGGAAAAATGGATCTAGGAACCTTTAAAGGGATAATTGTTTTTCTCCAGCCTCTTTCTCCTTTTTTTTATTCATTTAAGCAAAGTGAAAAAAAATGAAAAACTGAGAACCTGGCTCTTACACCAGTTCCCTGAGAAACACCCGATCAATTTGTTTACTTTCTCATGAACATTTGTCCTTCCTTCTCAGTCTGTCAGTGTTTGTTCTATTACGCTAATTAACCCAGAAATACTGGCATTTTCCTCTGCATGGCCACTAGCTTTCCACAGTAGGGCAAAAGCAAGGAAAGATACTTCTAAAAGTAAACAAGGTCCTAAATAAGTCTTATTTCCAGTTCCTACTGCCAAAAGCTGCACTTATTGGCAGCCCAATGATAGAGGAGAAATTATATGCGGAAAAGTCAATAGAGAATTTTCTTCCAGTGCTTTTTTGAAGCATGTAAGCAGTCAGCATGGCTAGAGAAGATGAAACAAAACTCTGATTGTATGGATGGTATATTATCAAGTAGTGATGATGAATCGGATATAATAAAAACAATGTGGTGTGTGAACTGACTTCCATAGAGCAGTGCTGTATCCAAATGGATAGCATGGATTTTGTGCCATGCAGAGCACTGTGGGTGTAAAAAAAAAAAAAAAAAAAAAGCAAGTCCAACCCAAAAGCTCATTGTGAATGTTGGATCAGAGCTTAGCTTCTGTCTGGCAGGGTTTTGCCAGGGTTTCACTTCATCTCTTTGCAGTTATGGCAGCTCTTGGCTGCTTAAGCTGTCTCTAAATGTCCTTAGATGAAATCTGAGGCTGGACCTGAACTGGAGCTAATCTAATCTCAGACACTTTGTCATTATAAACTAACTGTGGAGTAAAGCAAGAAGCTTCCTGTGTGATTTTATGACCTTCCTCCTTAAATGGGGGTCTCATGTAGGCTATTATTTTGTCGCTGCGTGTGAACATCATTAACTTGCTTGATCCTAGGTTGACAGAAGAACTGATGACAACAGTGGCAGGAACAACAGCTTGTATTTGCATTTCTTCCCTGTACACTTGCCAGTTTGCAGTGCTGCTTCATTTAATTGTCACTAACTGGTGCAGGTTCTGGCACTGTGTTGCCCAGTCAGGAGCAAAAAATAATTGCTCTGTGCATCGTGCTGTGCTGTTCAGAGATGCGTGTTCCTGAAGCCCAACATTTCTGACCAAGCTAAAGACATTTTAACATTCATTCCTCTTCAAGATTTGCCTGACTCATTAGCAAGGCAGCCTCCCTCTGAGTGCAAGTGGTATCTAGTGGAGAGTTTTGTCATCTCCTGGGTCTTGGTCTTCCAGAAGAGTACCACCGAAGGGTCCAGAATCCTGTGAGTTTCCATGCCTTTGCTGTTGTACTAAGCATAAATTACTTGCACGGAGCATAAATTACTTGTTCACATGGGTGAAAATGTGTATCTCCTTGGAGAATTTAAGGTTTGAGCACAACATTTGGTTCTTGATTTGCAGGAGTGAATGTTCTACTGAGATTACCAAAACCTCGTACTTATTAAGGGGAACAACGTCCATGTTGCATGAAGAAATGCAGTTCAGTGTCATAAAGCTGGATAGGAAGAGATATCCTTCCACTAAGTGGACTGAGGTGGATATAATCATAGTTTACATGCTTACTGGAGAAGGAATGAACTGTGAAATCCTGCAGAACATCAGTGAACTTTCTTAAGAGATTTAAGATAGGACCCGAGGGAAAGGAATGGAGCTATCAGGAGAGGGTCAGGCTAGGTGTTAAGGAAAGGTTCTGCACCCAGAGGGTGCTCAGGCACTGCGATAGGCTCCCCAGGGCTGTGGTCACAGCTCTGAGCTGCAGGAGTTCAAGAAGTATTTGGACAGTGCTCTCAGACATAGGGTCTGATTTTTGTGTGGTCCTGTGTGGACCCAGGAGTTGGACTCAATGATCCTTTTGGGTCCCTTCCAACTTGAGATATTCTATGATTCTGTGATCATAAGACAAATGTTAATGTATGCATCTCTGTAGGCTGCTTTGGGTCTTTTAATATGAAGAGATCCCTTCCATATAGTCTAGAGATTCTGTGTTTTGTTGCTGCAGTTGATCATGAGTTCATCTTTGTTTTCCATGCTACTTTCTTAAACAAGCAATATAAAACAGAAAGAGCCCCCAGATGACTTTTTCTGTCATTGCACTGTGGTGACTTGAGACAGCAGTGGGGATATTTTCCTCGTTAGCAGCTTGCTTTTTTTTTTTGTAGATAAAGATGTGGTAGACTTCATGGTAACATTTGAATAATAGCATGATGAAAAGAGCTGATTTCTTGCTTTACTGGGTTTATGAAGCTCTTAACATCAAATCTGATGTTCTTAACATTTACATTTGGTAGCAAACTTGAGAGATATTTTTTGTTGCCTTTTTTTTTTTTTTTTTTTTGCTTTGGGGTTTTAGTGAAGATACAGCTGATTTTTGCACATCGTATAGCAAAAAATAGCTCCTTATTAGCAGACAGTCTTGCTATAATGAATTGATATTGCAGTTTATTTCTGGCTAATCCTCTGGTATCAAATCAGAAGTACATTAATAAGCACTGTTTTGAGATGCAAAGAAGGAAGCAGGGCCAGGGAGAGTCTACAGGTGAAATGCTGGCCAAGTTTGCACCCCTCAGCTGTGCTCCATGTCTGCTCTGTGAGGAGGTGTCTGACTTAACTCAGGGAGAGCAGTCTGGCAAATGGTAACTCCTGTATGCTGGGTACAGAAAGGAGCTTTTTAAGGCCTCCTAAGGACATTAGGAAGTAACTTCGTTCTCTATGGTAGCTGTAAAAATGCTAGGGGAATTTTTTTTCATTTCTTTTTTTGGAAGAGGAGGACTAAAATGTAATCTTGGACTGTTGGGAATTGCCCCAAACTATTCATTTTCATTTGGAATAAATCTGAATGTTACTTATTGCCAAATTCAATGCATTAAAAATACATAAATAAATAAAACATTTGCAAGAGAATGAAATGAAATTTCATGCTGAAAGAGTCCTCTTTCTGCATAATTGGGCAGTTCTTCCCAAATCCTTGAGCTTCTTCTAATTGAAACATCCATTTTAAATAATTGCACAGGGCCAGGCAGTTGGGATTTCCAAGGGAACTACATCCAGATGGAAGCAGCATAGCCCAGTGGTTCAGGATTTGCTTTCTGAAAGTCATCTCTCCCCTTCTGGGTGGGCAATGTAGACATTGCATGCAGTAGGAGGGTGCGCAGAGAGGACAGAGTGGGAATGTGGCTAACACAGCAGAGAAAAGAGAAAATACCAAGATGGGTGATCACAAGTGCATGCAACCTCCACCTGTCTCAGGAGCTGGTTTGGATGACAGCCGTGGTAACCTGACTGCTGCAGTAAGGACTTTCTTTGTGGAGTCATTCTTATGTCTCTGCCTGTAAATCAGATGCCTGCTGAGAGTCTTCAATCCTGTAGCCCTTATTATACATGTAGAGGAACATAGTGGGAACGCTCTAGTTAAGCTGTACCATGATTTCCATTGCTCCCAGCTGCTGAGGTGGGTGTGGGAAAGGAGGAAGCAACCTAATCTGCCTACATTCAGCCAAAGCCTTATGAGGAAGAAACATTTGGTTTTATGAGGATTGTTTGGAGATGTGAAAAGACATACAAGGGTAAATGGCCACTCCAAAACAAACAGAAGAGTTTTTCTGCATTCAAACATGGACTTATTACCTCCTAGCACGTGACTGGAGCACTGATTCAAAATCAATTCAGAGTGCAAAGCGCTTATGGTATCACTGGCACTGTTTCCAGCCTTACTTACAATCTGATCCCAGATGGTATTGCTGTGTGCATTTTACACCATTTTAGAAACAGATTGTTTATTTTGTCTAGAATTCAGTGTTCATTGACTTACGCTGGGATGATCAGAGAGGATTCTGGGCCTTACATACCTATCCTATCTAGTGCTTGTTTTATAAAGTAACTGATCACTTGTGTCCTTGAAGTGTTTATACTAATAGCCTGTCTTTTTTTTCCTGGACGGTTTTGTTTCTGTAAAGAAAGCTATATTGGAAAATTCCCCCCTTCTGAGCAAGAAAATAAATTTGATAGGATTTCTTAATTGCACATATGCATAATTCTGCTCTTGCATTGCTGTAGAAGTATAAAATATGTGTATTGAGAAAAGATGTCATAAAATACCCAGATATAAATATGTAAGGAAGTACATGATCGTTTCTCCTA